GTCGTGGTGTTTTCTAAAAGAAATAGAAAACATGTTCTCCGTGTTTCTATCGAGTTATAGAAACACTCGTTATAGAAACACTTCTATCGAGAAACACTCGTTATAGAAACACTCGTAAGTTATAGAAACACTTCTAAACACTCGTTATAGAAACACTTCTATCGAGTTATAGAAACACTCGAAAAAGCTGTGGAAACACTCGCCTACAGCTCGTGTTCCCACAGCATTTCTCGTTCTCTCAAACTTACACTGGTGTTTCTATAACTCGATAGAAACACGGCATATGTTTTATATTTCTTTAAGAATAACACACCGATTGTATCTAAGGGCCGGGTCGCACTAGAGCCAATTTTGTTTGTATTGTTTTTGTTTGTTTGTAGCTCAGGGGCAAGGCCTATTTCGGGGAGATTAATTCTCTTACCCCTCATTCTCTTCTGAAATAGAGCAATAGGCAATCTCTGCACGTGCGTTATAATTCATTGGTCTTAAGCGAGTCTCTGCAAAATAACGCAAAATAGCTGCATGATATGATTCTCTGCATTTCAATTTGGAACAGGACGTTACGTTTTCATGCCGAGCTAATATACTTTGAATAGATCTGGATATTTATACTTTGAACAGATATACTTTGAATAGATCTGAATATTTGTTTTCTACAATGGAGATTTAAAAATCTCCAGTTGAAGAAAAGGAGTGCCATGTGTCTTCCAGCATTCTCTAGAGTCTCCGCGAAACCCGTATTTGTTTTTACTCTAAGCAGGTTTTATTGTTCATTTACCCAATCAAACTCTTGCGATGTCGACCTGGAGAGATTTTATAGAGAAATTGTATCAGGACCAGTTTTTGTTTTTGTTTTTGTTTTTATACTTTCATGACAAAACCACCCACAGGGCGACCTACAGAGCGACCCATGGCACCATCCACGGCATCTGAAGGTTTGTTTTACATTTTAATGTTAAAGTAACCTGTTTTGAGCTTGGTTTAACTGCACCTACAACTTCCGGACCTTTAAACACAGACAAATATTTACAGTGAGCTTACCAGATCAAGCTGGTTCACTGTCTGTTTCAAAGGAACATAGTTGTTATAGTAAGGTTATGGGAAAGGTCAGCCAATCCTTATTGCAGAGACAATGTATGAGTTTGTTAACAATTTGTGGTAATTTCTTCCAAGTCATTTCCAATCAGTTGAACAAGAATGTGGATCCATGTGACGACTTTTATTCCTACGCATGCGGAGGGTTTTCCAAAACCCATCATCTCAGTGCGGAACAGAGTAGCGAAACTGGCTTCACTATCGTGAACGACGACAACATGGAGGTTTTACGACAAGCTATGGAGACTGCTGCTTATAACTATTCACAGGTTTGGCACGAGTAGTCTAGGACGCTGAACTAGATTCAAACCAATCAGAGCGTAGTATTTTTGTAATGGACCAATTTCTGTGGTTGTTCATTCGCGATCGCGCGTTATTCGAAAAAGTGTTTCAGCCAAATTTGCAGGGCTTTGCATTTATAGAGCTTGGTATGTATCATTTCTACATTGAACTGATACTTTTTTTTGGACAAGAACTGTTCAGTTAGACCCTTCTCAGGTCGCCATTTTAATGTCACGCAACACATATGCTTGAAAATTAATACGTGCTCTATTAGAAAACGAAGAACCCGGTGGAGCATAAGCGATGTAAAACGTTAAAGTCACTAGAGGGTCTTACATCTGATCAAATTTAAACTTTAAAAGGATTTAAAACTTTTAGATTCGAAGCATGATGATGTCACATGAGAACTAGCATATATATGTTTCAGGGTGATTTATATGTTATTTCCCGGCCCTTGTAGGTCCTTACTGAGAAGGACGTTGCCCGAAGCCTTGAGTTGTCTAACAACCCTTAACCGCAGCACGTTTATACCATATTTGGGCGAGCATGCATAATTTTTCCGTATTTATTGTCGGATTTCATGCGACAAGTAGAGATACCAGTTCTTGCACTGGAAGGGCACCAACTTGACGTCTTCATACAAAACTCTATAGATTTGGGTGGAACACTTTTCCAAATAACGTGCACAGACCGAAATCTTGATATTTCAATCATCTATCAAATCTCAGATTCTTGACTGAATTTATGGAATTGTTTCGATTTTTGATTGCG